AGAGTGACTGGAAGCACTTTGCTGGAAAATACAGTCAGCTGACCTCATGGTCAATCTCATAAAAAAAGCAAGTTTGCTGAGGCCCAAGAGACCTGTCCAGGACATGGTAATGGGTCAAGGACAGGTGCTACCCAGGGCTACCAAGATAAAAGCCAAAGCACAGCTCCCAATTCCCACAACAAAACAGGAAATTCTGAGTTTCTCTGGAAGTTGAGGATGCCACCATAAGCTTCAGCATAGCCACTATACTACTGATAAATCTATTATAGTAAAAAGATAGCATAGAACTGAGAAATGCTAAATTTCTTTTGGAAAGCTGATGGCCATTTTAATAAGTGAGCCTATGCCTGCAGATCCAAACTTTGAACAAATACTTGAAGTAGTCATTGATGCAGGTGAGATTGGAAAAGGGGCTGTCCTCCTTCAGGTAAATAAATCTAGAATAGGGAGACCAATCATGTATTGTTCCAAAAAAACTAAACAAACATAGTGTTCCACAGGAGAGAAGGAAACCCTTGGTTTATTACTGGCTTTCAAACACTTGGAGATATACTTCTGAAATGAGTACAAAGAGACCACAGTCTGACCACATACTGACCAAAACCCATTGCTTTTTGTGGAAATGCTTGAGACCCAGATGCCAGGTTATTCTGTTAGAGTTTGTTCCTTCAATTGTACCATTTGAAAATCACCGATATTGCTAGGAAATCAAATATGATGCAAACATTCTGTCCTGAGCCATGATTTTAATGTTTTTTTTTTGAAGAAACGCACTGCTAAAAGACAACCGCAGATGTAATTTCAGTGGTTGGCTGGAGACAGAACCTTGGAAATTCGCATCTGATGAAATGTCAAGGAAGCTTGGGAGAAATGCATTACGAGCTGAACTATAGTCTTTTGGGAGTTATCTTAGATTGTGAACATGATGGGAGACAAAACAGGAATCTGAGCAAGAGATCTGTTTTTGTGTCTTCCTTCTCCAACAATATGCAAAAACAGGGGTTACAAGCCAGTTCACCCCCGGCCTTGGTGTGCTAGTGGAAGAAAGTATGCAAGTGGGAAAAGGTGTGCTTATGGGTTGAGGTAAGCATGATTAGATTTGAGCATTACTGTATTGTGAAGGTCACTGTAATCACCCTTGTAATGCAGGTAAAGGAATTACTTGTTCTGAATACCAGTTAGCCAGCAAACTATCAAATGGAAACAGGACAAAAGAATTTTAATTGATCTGCGAAGCCAAGACTGTAAAAATAGGGTCCCCTTGTCCTCACCTACTGTCCCACCAGCATCGAAAAACAAGAGGATCATTAGCCACCATTTCTGCCACTTCTAGTGAGATGCCACCACGAGACACAGGTTCCCCTCCACTCCCTTGTCAGCCTTTTGCAGGAACCATTCCCTCCAGGACACCCTGGTTCACTCCTCCTTCACTCCCAACAACCACACCCACAGCCCCACAGCACATTCCCCTGCAACCACAGAAGGTGCAACACCTGCCCATTTACCTCCTCCCTCCCCAGTATCCAAGGGCCCAAACATACCTTCCAGGTGAAGCAACACTTCACCTGCACTTTCCAGAATCTAGTCTACTGCATTTGCTGCTCACAATGTGGTCTCTTCTACATTGGGGAAATGAAGTGTAGACTTGGCAACCGCTTCGCAGAACATCTACGTTCCGCTCGCAAAAAAGACCCTGAGCTTCCTGTTCCCTGCTACGTCAAGACACCACTCTGTTCCCTGGTCAACATCTCTTTCTCAGGTTTGCTACAGTGTTCCAGTGAAGCTCAGCGCAAGCTGGAAGAACAGTACTTCATTTTCTGCTTGGGAACGCTGCAACTTTTTGGACTCAATATCGAGTTGAACAATTTTAGGGTTTGAGGCCCCTTCTCCCATGTCCATACCCCAGCCCCCACACACCAAGCCTTGTTATCATGTGGTTTGCTACCACAAACAACCCATTGTTAGTCATTAATAGACCCAATTAGTAGCTATTCAACCTCCTGGGTTGATCGTTATCCACTCTTCTGTTTGTCCAACTGTTTTTGTCTCTCAATCATTTACTCCTTACCCCCTCCCCCACACTGTCTTCTGCATAAAATCAATCTGTTCTCGGCTACCATCAGTTCTGAGGAAGGGTCACCGAACCCAAAATGTTAACTCTGATTACTCTCAATAGATGCAGCCAGACCTGCTGAGCATTACCAGCAACTTCTGTTCTGAACTATTAACATCCATATCTATGCTTCACAAGTGACCCAAAGACTCAATTGTATATCTTTTAGTTTTTAGCGTTTATTTTGGATGTATGCCTCATTGTTAATCTGTGTGAGTATGTGTGTTGTGTTAATATTTCCTCTTGCATTTAGTAACTTATGAACTCATTGTTTTGTTAACTCAAGAATGCCTTATGTTGAAAACATAAATTCACTTTGTCTGCAAGATAAGCATCCACAAAGGTACAGATCCTTTTGAAAATTAACATGTTGCAATGGACTGAGGGGTGTAGATGAACAAAAGGGAGCCAATTCACCGAGCCCCTTCTTACCTGGCAGCTTGACAATTTCAGGAATTTCAATAATGTGGGGAACCTCACTCGGAATCTGACCCTAACAATAGGAGGAAGGAGTCACTTACAATCTACAATGTACCCAGTGGCCTTGTTGAACTGAATTGTTGTTAATCTGTATAAAGGGAGTTGGAATAGGTCAGGCAAAAAAAAATCAGGGGAAAAATTGTGGACAGAATAAAAGAATCAATTCTGTCCTAAAACTCCATCTTGTCACATTGAAATTGGGGAAAAGGTCCTGCCATCAGTTAGACTCTGTCAGTGTCCTAGAACACAGGACCTGTTCCACCAGAATCCATCCCACCTTATGGCACTTCACAAGTATCAGCATGGAAACTCAAAAGGTTGGTCATGGGAAGGGTTGAGTATTTAAGGGGAGGCAACGGTCTAGTGGTGTTATTGCTGGCCTGTTAATCCAGTGAGCCAGATAATATTCTAGGGAAAAAATTAAAAACCAA